TTACAGTTCCACCAACAGTGTAGGAGGGTTCCCGCCCGCTCAGGTCTCCTTAGGCCCAGTTGTGGTTGCGGACGCGGGGCTTTCTCGGCCGCACAGTTTGCCAGCTCACTACGTCGGGAAGGGAGTACGCAGCAGTGACGGTGGCGGCGGCCGTGCACCGGAGGAGGCTAGGTTTCCGCGGCAGCAGCGGCTTCGGCGCGAAGGTCGGCAACGGCCTCGGGCACCCCACCGCTTCGGATATTTCCGCTGCCTGCCCGCTTCGGCTCTTCCCGCCCGGCCTAGGCCGGGCGCCTGCGCAGTCGCCGCAGACCCGCGTTGCTCAGCGATGGAGTTGGAGTTCGGGCTATTTCGCCTAGGATCGGATATTTCCGTTCATGGAGATAACGATTCGGAAGTCTCGCGGTTACTTCCGGGAACACTCGCTGGACCGGGCAGGAAGCGGTATTGGCTTCCATCTTTGAGTGGGGCAGATGGGGGCCGCTTCGCAGTCAGTCCACGCTATGTTGCACTATGTGCCGAGCGCGGTGGGGGCGGGTCAGGCAAAGTCCTTGACCCTGGAGGTCACAAAGGCAGGGTGATCACGGAAGGCTAGAGCCTGGGCGAGGCCAGGGGCGTTGCCCAGAGAGTGCGGGGTCGAGCCTCAGTGTCCCATTGCAAACCCAAACAAAAATCCCCACTCATGGAGATTCTGATTGAGTTAAACTAACAAATAAAACATGTATTGTGCCAGAGGGTGGTAAGCACTGTGGAGGTTTTCAAGGTCAGGGGAAGACTTCTCCGGGGTGGACACTTAGCGCACTGGGCGCAGGCCCCAGGTTCCAGTGGAGACGCACGGCGGCCTCTGCGTCTGTCCACCGCTGTCAAGACCGCGGGATGGGGGCTCCCCTCCAATCACAGCTCAGTATGCCTCGGAGGGCGGGAGGAAACGGCGCCCTGCGGCCGAGCGACTTCCGGCCGTCGCCACGGAAACGGTGGGGTCGGTAAGCAGGGGGCGGCCCTACCGTTACCGTGGCGGGCGTCTGTCCACCGCTGTCAAGACCGCGGGATGGGGGCTCCCCTCCAATCACAGCTCAGTATGCCTCGGAGGGCGGGAGGAAACGGCGCCCTGCGGCCGAGCGACTTCCGGCCGTCGCCACGGAAACGGTGGGGTCGGTAAGCAGGGGGCGGCCCTACAGTTACCGTGGCGGCTGCCGTCACTGCCCGGGGCATTGTGGGAGACGTGGTCCCAGCAGTCCAGGGGGGACCGTGGTGGGGTCAGGCAGGTCTCCTCCTGGGCCCTTCCTTCGCCATCTGAGAAATTACTAATCGACCCCTCCCGGGCCCGCGGTCCTCACCTCGGCGGAGCCACTCGGACGCCCTTTCTTGCCTTTACCCTTGAAAGCTGGTGCTGGAGAGGTCTGGGGTGAGGTAGGGGCTCAGAAGCCTCAAACAGCTTGAGTTTGGGGCCAAACATGACTTCAACTGTCCTAGCTTCCTCAGGCTTCACACAAGGATGGTTCTGGGGCTCAGAGGGCCCCTCCAGACTCAGTCTCCCTCTTTCTATCTCCCTTCCTCTCTTTTCTCAGCCATCTTGTTCTGTGCTGATTATTTTCATACAGGCCATCTCTACGTGGTGGTTGATGAATATCCTGCTGTTTCCATCTAGTCTCAGGAATGGTTCCTATTGTCCAGCCTGGTCCACGGGTCCATACTTGGGTCAGCTGCTGAGGCCCATCTGCTGAAGGCCCATCTAGGAATGGGGTATTGGTCTCCCAGAGAGGTGATGCTGGACTAGCCAAAGCTGGATTTTTGTGGTCTCTGGCCTCAAGACTCACCATCCAGTGGGGAAAGACCATCAGGCCTCAAGACTCACCATCCAGTGGGGAAAGACCATCAACCATTCAACAACATGCTGAGATAAAGAAGATCGTGGAGTCCAGACCAGGGGGGAGGGGATGTCGAACTGAATCCGGGGCCTGGATTGGATGTGGTGCTGCTGTGTCTTCCTTTTCACCCTTACAGCCATCCAAGTGACGGAGGGGCACAGGAGTCAGGTGGCTTGGGGAACAGGGTTCCTGTAGCCCCTGGGTCCGCTGCTTCTAGGAAGGCAGCACAGGACTCAGCATGTGCAAAGGCTCTGAGGGAAGCCAGGGCCAGCACCTCAGAGGGACTTGGCAGAGTGTAGTGGGCGAGGAGTGAGACTGGAAGTGCAGCTGTGGGCATTAGTGTAGTTTCTGGGAGCCGACATTGGGAAGACAGAGTCCATTTTGGAGAGGAAGGGGCAGGAGCAGGCAGGGAAGGGAGGATGAGGGGAGGTGCCTTGGACCACCAGGGCAGAGATGGGTAGCTGGGATTGGAGCAATGCTGAGGAGTGGAGAGAAATAGAATCAGGGAGGCTGGGGTTGTGGTGAGAATAACTGGATAGATGCGGCACTCGGAGGAGAGGTGCTGTGCTTGGGATGGAACAGTCTGGCCTCACGTGCAGATGATCCAAGGACAGGCTGGCTGGGCCCATTCATTATTTTGGCCACACCAGGGCCTTGGAGGTTCCCTTACTGGATACCTTTCATGGATTTCCTAGAGTCAGTGGCTGTGTCTTTGTGGAGCTGGGTGGTCCTTCTGTCCAGTCCCTCAGCCCTGCAGATAGTATGGTAGCACTTGCCCGCTGAAGGGCCCAGTCACGACTCCTCTAATTCTGCAGATTTTGGCCCAGGGAACCCCTCGCTGTGCCACACAGGAATGGCCTCTGGCCCAGGCTGGCTTGTCATCTTTCTCTGAGGTCAGGGACCCAGTCTTGGGGATCAGGGTGCCTCAGAGTGGTAGGGAAAGTCCAGCCACATCCCCGGAAGAAGCTTGGACAAACAAGCCTCAAGTAGCTGTTCTTGGAAACAAGGGCTGGGCTTCGGTTAAGCTCCTGCCTCTGGGCTCGAGACCTGTCCACTTGGGAATCACTGTGCAGGGCAAGCACTCTACAAATATGCCCCTTTTCACCTGCAGCTCTGTTAGGGAGAGAGTGCCACAAGGGCTGGGAAGGGAGAAAACACTTGCTCCTCGTCCCGGCAGCAGCAGGTCCTTCAGGAGCAGAGATTTTTATATACCTCCCAGAACCAGGCTCATTGGGCCCCTCAGAGACACCCACACCAGTGTCTCATCCTAGGTTCATGCGTCACCCTCCTCTGAGTCCAGAGACCTCAGGACCAGCTGAGCAGTACCCTCTCCTCAGAGGTCTGGGTCCCAGGCCCACAGGGCCTCCCTGCCAGCTGAGACCCCTGGACCAGCCTGGCAGCAGCCCCTCCTTAAGGGCCTGAGTTTCAGCTCCATGGGAAACTCATTGGAACTTCTAAGTTGCAATCCTTCCCTTTGTTCCTCTAGCCCTAGGGGTCTAGCTGCTCCCAGCAGTGCTCACCTTTCCCACTCTGTGACAGCTCCATCCCATAATACCTAGGTAGCAGATCTGCAAAAACATTTCCTGTGACTCTGTCTCTTGTCCCTGAGTGATGATCAGTCATGGCACCATGCTACACACATATAGGCTATCAGCAGATGGCCACAGAGAACACTTCCTTTTCTCTGGGTCTAGGGAACTGAGGACTGCTGCCCAGGGCTGCTCTGCCCCACCTACTGCTGGGCCATACCCTTTTGTGTAAGCGAGAGGCATGGTACAGGGGCCATCCCTAAGACGGGAGCAGGTGCTTCTAGGAGCCACCTCTGCGGCAGGGGTGGGGTGGGAATGGAGTGAGAGAGGACATGGCCCTTGAAAGAACCACGTGGAGGGCCGGTCTGTGGCTCGCTGGGGAGAGTGTGGTGCTGATAACACCAAGACCACGGGTTTGGATCCTATATAGGGATGGCCGGTTCGCTCACTGGCTGAGCATGGTGCTGACAACACCAAGTCAAGGGTTAAGATCCCCTTACCTGTCGTCTTTCAGGAAAAAAAGAAAAGAAAAAAGAAAACCACGTGGGTGCAGAGGGAGCACACCAGTACTGGAGTGGTCATGGTGGGGGCTGCGCAGATGAGGAGGCACGAGTGGACGGAGACCCAGTTTCCATCTACTGTTTATTGAGCACCTACTGGGGGCAAGGCCCTGGGCAGCCTGTCTGTCTGTACCTAAGCGATCGCTGGCCTCACAACAACCCTGTGAGGTAGGTGTTCTGACCAAAGTGGTCGCAGTGTGTCCTGACCGGAGCTACTCTGCACTGTGGACACGCTGGTGCTGGATGAGCTTGGTACTCTGGTGGAAGCGGCGGCCGCAGTCCTGGCAGGCAAAGGGCTTCTCTCGCCGGTGGGTGCGCAGGTGCTGCGTGAGTGTGGGCCGCTGGCGGAAGGCCTTGCCACACTCAGGGCATGCGTAGGGACGCTCGCCCGTGTGGATGCGCCGGTGTTGGGTGAGGTTGGCGTGCTGCCGGAAGCTCTGGCCACACTCGGGGCAGGCGAAGGGCCGTTCGCCAGTGTGGATGCGCTGGTGCTCGGTGAGCCGCGAGACCTGCGTGAAGCCTAGGCCGCACTCACCGCAGTGGTAGGGCTTCTCGCCAGTGTGTGTCCTCTGGTGGCGCGTGAGCTTGAGACGCTGGCTGAAGCGCTGGCCACACTCGGGGCAGGCAAACGGCTTCTCGCCCGTGTGCACGCGCAGGTGCTGCGTGAGCGTGGGCCGCTGGCGGAAGGCCTTACCGCACTCCGCGCAGGCGAAGGGCCGCTCGCCGGTGTGGATCCGCCGGTGCTGCGTGAGGTTGGAGCGCTGCCGGAAGCTCTGGCCGCACTCCGCGCAGGCAAAAGGCCGCTCGCCGCTATGCACCCGCCTATGCTGCAGCAGCACCGAACGGCGGCCGAAGCGCTCGCCGCACTCCACGCAGCCGAAGGACTTGTCTCCC